GCCATCGCCTTCCACCACCACTACTGTCACCGCCTTCCACCACCACCACCGTCGTCGTCACCTCCACTGCCTTCCACTACCACCACCACCACACCATTGCCTTCCACCATGATTTCTTACACTTCCACCATTGCCATTGGCACTGCCTTCTACAAACACCACTGCCGCCACTGTTGCTGCCTTCCAACACCACCACCTACACCACTTTTCACCTCCACCACCATCATCACTGCCATCTACCACCACCATCATTTCTTTTGTGTTTTTTATTGAAAAAACCTAACAGTTTTCAAAAAAACAAATATTAATATATATATATATATATATATATATATATATATATATATATATATTCATTGATTTTCATTTTAGTGCATCATTATTTTTTCATAAGTTTTTATAATAAAAATCATATCTAATTAGTGAATAAATATAATAATAGATGACTACAAATTAATTATTTTTCCTCTAAAAATATTGTATTTATTCATCTAATTGGATCCTTTCAAATTGCACCATCTTCTAAAAACTCATGCATCATTAAAACTTGAGAAGGCCAAAACCAAATTTTTCATGATTTTATAACACTCAAAATTACCATCTAACAAGGGGTTGACATCAACAAGTGCATTATGTCTATTTTAAAACCTAAAACAATTTTTCCAAAGTATATTGCAACTTTTTATGAATTTCTAACGGTTAAAGATATGAGAATATTATTTTAGAATTTGGTAACTGCAATATTTTGCAGATACTTCAGGGGTGTTTAACACCTTCCCTTGGCATAATCGAACTCCCAATCTCGTGAATCTCAGTCGCATAGTCGCATAGGCTTATATGGAGTACGTTACTATAAAAAAAGAGGGTATTTTTAAAAATATTTCTGATAATATTGCAAAAATAATATTTTATAAAATATATAATATTTTTCAAGGTGACTTAAACATAACGTAATAATATTATGGAATATCTTACGTCGTTATAAGTTCAGATTCATTCAATGAGCATCCATTATTTCATAGAAATTGGGGGCAATAGAATCTCCTTGCGTAGGGGTGGCCAACCGATCCAACTTTCAGGCATCAAGATACGTTTCAGGCGTGGATGAAACTCATAAGAGATTCCCGTTCTTGAAAATCTGCACTTTTCAAAATCCAGAAAACAGAAGGGATTCTAGGATTTGATTCCTCCCTTTGGCAAAGACTGATTTGCATACCTATTCCGGTTGATCCACACCACGTACACCTAAACCCAATGTTTGATGGCGACTCTATAAATTTTTACATAAGGCCCTATATTAAATATATTTTTTTGTCGCATTAAGCCAATATTTTAATTTGCACACTTCATTTTTTAAACTGCATTTTTAAAAAACATTTACTCCTTGGGACAGTGCAAGTCAAAAATCTGGGCATGACAATATAGATTCACCGATCACATTTGAATTAATATGTTTGTGATATATTATCTCCGGCATTCAATAAGTATAAAAAATTTGTGTGAATTTATTATCAAATCATTACCTAAACAAAAAAAATAAAAAATAAATATATTGGAAACCAACCTATTTACTCCTTCTAGGTTTCCTTGCATGTTATGCTCTTGATTGTACTCTTGAGCTAAACTGATACAACCTTCGTATAAAAGACAACTGTCCCATCCGAAAGTAGTTATTAGTCCGCTCAACGGCGATAATAGAGTTGAAGGCAACGGCATGGAAAGCCCTAAAAATGATTGTGGGAATTAATTCATGATTTTGTCAAGATCGCCGTCCTAGAGTTTGAAGTATGTGAAGTTACTGTTTCCAACTTTAAGAAAGAGGTGGAAACTGGAAACACCGAATTCGATTTGTTATGTACATATATAATAATAATTTTGATCTGAATTGCTAAATATTAAAAGTGTGGGGCAGTTTTGGTCCAACAAAAATGAGGACAAAGCTTCCATTCTCAGTCGAAGTTAGCTTTGCCCTTTTATATATAACCATTTACTGTACAGAGTCCGGTCTCTTGCATTGCTCCATGTAAGTCTAACGGTCATTTTTTTAAACTCACTTTTAATGCAAAATCACCCTGATACTATTTTTACTTTTTATATTTAATTTTATCATTATCACGCTTATTGTAACAATAAAAGGTAATTATCAAAATAAAAATAAAAACCTTTGAAAAAAAAATAATACCTATATATTTTGCTAAAAATTTGTTTTTATTTAAACGTTTCTTTGAAAGAAATATCTTTGCAGCACACTTCACCTCTATTTTTCTTTCACAATCTTATTCATGGGTGAAACTCTTCTCACAACCTTATCCATGAAGAGTAATCATTGTCCACACTTTTATCCATGGATTTGTCCACACTTTTGTCCATGAATTCAAATTTAGCCACGTACGAAGAAATGGAGAGAGAGTTAAATCGAGCTATCAATCTATCCCGACCACCGGATATAAACCTCCACTGTCAGTTGAGCCTAGCCCACCGCCTGTTGGAACCAAAATATTGAAAAGAGACTTAGAGACGCGTAATCGCTTCTTGAAGATAGTTAAAGTCTTTCCCACGTGCAACGGAAAACAAATGATAGCACTATCTCTGGGATTCAACTAAGCCCAGATATTAAATCTGTGCGTTCATAAAGGTTGCACTTCTTCTTCATGAACCTGTGTATTTATCTCCGTCTGATCAACAAAAAATATGAAACTCACATACTTAAAAATCAATAGTTTGAAAACACTTTTTTAAATCCCTTTTGATTAACTCTAACTAGTTTAGAGTGTGTATTTTGTAAGATTCGTAAACCTACTATTTATACTAGTAGAAGTGGGAATATAATTAACTTAATATTAATGAAAATATTTAATTTTCATAAATAACGTATAAGTTAAAGTAAGTTAATACATCAGATGAAGAAAACTTTATTTATAGTTTACTAAAACTTCATTAAGACATATGTTGGAGTTTTAGTAAATTAATAACTAATTAATTTGAAACATAACTCTAACACCGCCTTCGCTGTGGAATGATAATTGTGATATTTTAGATGTTAACCTTGGGTCTCGAGTAGTGATCTTTTACTTCCTATAGAGTAAGAAAATTCTTCCGCACTTTTTATAGTAACCATTAGATTAAATATAATGATCATATTCTAAACCTATTTATCTGCTTTCCTTTTAATACAAAACCACTATCACTATTTCTAATTTCTAAATTTAATATTTACTAATACCACTAATTTCAACAATAAAAGTAAGTGCTAAACAAATAAAAATAGAAATCGCTTCACCTATGAAATGTCTCACCATCACTAATTCGAATTTTTGTTTTCTTTTATGTCTTTGTTGTAAGTTTACATATGAGCTGCCTTTTATACTTACCAAAAAAAAAATGATGATAGTGAAAACAAAAATGATGATAGTATAATAGCATGAAAACGAAAATAATGATAGTAAAAAATCAAAAAATGAAGATAGTGAAAACAAAAAAAATGATGATAAAAAACAACTAATTTACAAAGGAAATCTGAAATTTCATAGAATAATAGTATGTTTTGTCGTGAATCTCTTCATTACGTCAATAAATTTTTGTTATTATAGTAGAACTAGAAAAAATATATTGTGCGACTTATTATGACAGATAAGTAATTGGAATGTGTTTACAGTTAGAATTTGAAATAAAATAAAACAGAATTAATAAGAAAAATGAGACAATTTGTGACAAAGGGTCAGAGAAAAATAGATTGAATTTTTAATTTTTAAATAGCATACATTTAGGGAGGTATACTATAATTTAAATTATAATCTACTAAATTTTTTATGGGTGAAATGTTGAACAAATCACAGGTTACCTTAAGTTGATTAAGTGGATAAAAAAATAGAGATTTTATTTTTTATATTTTATTTTTTTTATTCGATGTTTCATTGTCAATAGTGTAATTTTTAATTTCTTTTTTACACTCAAAGAGGCCATGCCAACTTTTGTATCAAGTCATAGATGCAATTTTCTAACACTTATAATTTTTTTTAACCAATTAGTTATGAGACATGATTTTGAGAGGTGAAGAGATTTTAATTTTAATTTTTTTAGTACTTACCTTTTACTGTTATAATTAATTGTATTAGTAAATATTAAATTTGGAAACTAAAAATAGTGATAGCATTTTTGCATTAAAAAGAAATCATATAAGTAGGTTTAGAATGTGATCATTAGATAAAAAGTACATAAGAATTTTCTTACTCTATAAGGAGCAAGAGTAGAGATCACTACTCTTATTGTATATTCGTAGAGATCACTACTCTTATTGTATATTCGTGTATATACATATATATATTAAATTATATATATTTTGTTATTTAAATTAACAGTAAAGACATTTTAGAATACTTTTTTAAAAATTTGGTTCTTTTCCTTTATATTCCTGATTAGGGAAGGAATTGTAAGCAACTATATATATATATATATATATATATATATGTGGAGAGAGAGAGATCAGCAGAGTCTCGTACTCACCAGTGAAGTTTAAACTTAGGTAAGTTCTTTTAATTATTTATATTTCTTCATTTTTTTTATTTGATTTTTATTTATTTATTCTGTTTAAGATTATAGTGTTATTTCTTCTTATTATTTTTTTCCCTACTTTGTTAGCTAAATTTAATATTATTTGATTATGTACTACATTCCCATGCTTGAATAAATTCATGTATAATCTTATTAAAAAAAAAACGTAATAAATTGGTGTGCTCTACTAATATCTATATATATACATACATATTCATATGCTTATATAGTCGTCATCATGACTGGGTCTCATCGTATCAAGTTGTTTAATCTGAAATCAAATTTAGGGAGGGGCCAACCGAATCTTTCACACCTTTTCACGTGACAAGGGTTATACTGTAAATTCAACACTTCTGTTGACTACGTTTACATGGCAAGTGCGCTATGACGTCAAGCGGTACAAGATGCTCTGCGCAATTTAATCATTGGTGAGGTGGTTGAAGTGCAATTTACCCTGACTTTTACATCCTAAATTTCCCTAAAAATCTAAGCCGTCCTACTTTGTTGTTCGGATAGTTGACGAGGAAATAATCTCTCGACTCATTGTTCTATTAGGATTGTACGAAATTTCCCTCTCATTCCTTCCTGATTAGGAAAAGATTACATCTTTATATATATATATATATATAGAGAGAGAGAGAGAGAGAGATCCGCTTTACTCATAAGGTTTGCATCGCCAATTGGGAAGTTTAAGATTATTGCAGCCTTGAGGTAAGTTGTTTTGATTGTTCATATTCACAGTATGTTCTATATATTGTTTTTATGGGATTTGGATTTGGTAGTGGTAATGGCTCAATTAGATTCTAATATTGAAAATTAATATTATTAGAATAGTTTTTTCAAATTTGTTAGTAGCGAGTCTGTTACCTTAATTACCGAAAAATTATAAACCCATTGGAATTGAGTATGGTAGATATGATGTAAGTTATTGTGATTATATAGATTGTAGTAGCAACTCTGTTACCTTGGGAGTAATAACAAATTCATACTATATCCAACAAGTTTTTGTTTTTTTTGAATCAATTAGTTTTAAATTATAAATCCATTCTAATTGAGTATTCAGTATTGCAGATATGATGTATTGTGATTATAAATTATATATTTGATTGACATCGCAGTGCTATTAGGGAAATAAACACGATGAGTTCAATGAAGGAGTCAGATTGGGCGTTCCTTCTAAATAACTTACTGGATATGACAATGAAGGAGTCAGATTGGGCATTTCTTCCAAAGATCTTATTGGATATGATTCTAGACAAGTTGGTTTCGTTTTCTGAATATGTTCGATTTGGTGCGGTTTGCAAACCATGGCGGTATGTGGCAATGGATAACAAACTTAAATTCATTCAAAATAAGTTTTTGGGACAAGTTCCATTCTTGATGGTGCCTTCGAAAGATAATAGTGACGAAAGGCGTAGTCTATACAGCATCACTCATAATAAGCTATATGATTTTCAGTTACGAGTACCCTACATAAAGAGGCTTTCTGGTTCCTCACATGGTTGGCTGTTTACTGTGGAAGATTCCTTGGCTGTAACTCTAATGAACCCGTTCTCTGGAGCTACCATTGAGCTTCCTCCAATTACAGAAATCGATCCTCCTCTTCCTGAGTATGATGATGGTACTCCTCATGAGGTTGAGTTTGAAGTTAGAAGGGCTATAATGTCAGCTGACCCTGCTTCGTCTCCTAATGACTATATTGTTACCATCATCTATAGTGGTTGCAGTCACTTGGCATTTATTCGGGCAGGTGATGAAGCTTGGACTTACATAGATAAAAAAAGATTTTTGTCCATCGAAGATGTCATTTATTATAATGGCCAGATTTTTGCAATTGATTATCAAAGTAGAGTCCTAATGATTGATGTTAATAGAAAGGATGGGGAGAGTAAGGTTCCGCAGGTAGAGGTAGCTGAACGTGTGACTCGTCCGGATTTTGAACAAATATATCTTGTCGAATCATCTAATGGGGATTTACTTCTTGTAAAAAGGTTTTTAGATGAAAACGACGCTATAGAGCATACAACTTCAGGGTTTAAGGTTTTTAAGTTGCTTTTAGAGCAATTTGAGTCACTTGAACTGAAGAACTTGGGCGGAGACACTCTGTTTGTGGGAGATAACCATTCTATTTGTGTTTCAGCTTCCAAATGGCCTGGATGTCAGGCGAATTCAATATATTACACAGATGACTATACTCACATTCATTTCAAACCTCCATCTGGGCGCCGAGACATTGGTATCTTCAACATAGAGAATGGAAGCTTTGGAACTCATTACATCCTTGATCCTTCACACAACCATATGCCACCCTCAATTTGGATTGTGCCAACTGTTTTGGGAAATTTTGTTTAGAGTTAATTTGGGTTAGTTTTTTTTTGCTTAGCATTTTTATGTGGTAAAATAATCTATTTTTATCTCTTGCTGTAACAAAATATGGGATCAAGGGCTTGATCATAATAGAGGATCTGAGTTTGGTTGAAAGTAAATATATTGATGATCAATGTTTAGCTTAGTATTGAGCGTTCGACTAATGAGTAGTCCAGTTCACTTGTGATGCCAGTACTGATCAGTAGCATATAATTTGTTTGATCCCTTGGTTTTTATTTGTATGACCGTTACAGTAGTTCTTTAAAGCTTGTGAAGATTGCTTAGATATTCTTTACTAAAATGCTTTACCAAATTATATATAGTATCTCTGTTATAGTTTGCAGACCTTAGTATTCTGTTAAATGATGAAAGTTGTAGAAGACGAAACCAAACAACTTGAGTAACAACCAAAAATGTTTTCTCTTTCTTTGAATTAGTCCCTTATCCTGGATCAATGTGTGTGTGATTTGGGGCGACTGATTTCCTGCGGGCAATAAGGTAAGAAATTTTCATGATTTTCTATTTCTCTGTCTGGTTGTTTTGAAATGAAATGGTAATTGTGCTTGATGATGTGTGTGGTTTTTGTATGAACTCTTTGCATTTGAAGAGTTGAAAGAGAAAGATTGAGGGAAAAAAAAAAAATGACTGATCTGGTTTTCATTTATGTTTTATTATAATTTACACTGTCATACAAACAATTTCCTTTAATGTATGCAGTATAAAAAGTGCAACATTTAGGAGTTATCAATCTCAGAAGAAAATTTATCTCATCATACATGATTTTACGACACGTGTGTTTTGATGCTTTGGAATAATGCCAAGGGCTTTCAGAAGTTATCTCGATGGTGAGGATAATAAACATTTTGTTAGGATCTTGTACGTGGAGAGTTCACCTACATGATTTTGTGAGGATAAATGGAATTTGATAAAAGTTAGAAGAATACACCAAGGAAGCTTAGGCCCTGTTTGGTATATGTTCTGTTCTGTAATGTTTTGTTCCAGGACCGCTACAGTACCACTATTGAGGCCCAAAAATCTCTCCCTTCATTAGATCTGATAATTGTGTCTCTATCTCTAACCAACCAGCTAATCTCTCTCTCTCCTGAAGAAAAGTATTTAAAAAAAGAAGCAAATCAAGCCATAAGCATAATTTAATCAGATCACAGAAACAAGAGAATGAGATAATTGAAGTTTACGGATCAACAATGGCGTCCTTGCCTTCTTTCGGTTTAACAGTAAAAATGGATATGGTCATTTTGTTCTTAATTTTCACTTTTCAACCAAAGGTGGAATTTTTTTTTTCGCCCCTAAACATGTTTTGTTTTCATCTCAGTACACTCTATTACAAAACACTTGTTCTATTCTAGGCTAAAACAAAACGTCCGGGAACACAACGCATACCAAACGGGCCCTTAGTGCCCTGCAATCATGCTGACAAGTAATGCAGGTCATAACATAACCATTGGTTTCTAAATCCTGTGTTGTTGCATCTAATAAAAGAATTGCTGTATCTAATAAAAGAAAAGTTAGAACTTGTTGAGTAGCCTTAAAAGGTGTCCTGTGGACTAACACACAGTATTTTGTCTGCAGGGGTTAAATGCCTCTATATAACAAAGTAATATGATCAGTTGCGTTTCACAAAGTAGGTGTTCTACCTGTTGTTGATGAATCTTAATAATTGATATTCTGTCTTTTTTATTAATGCAGGCACTGAGAAAATGCAACGATGATTGTTTCTTTGGGTGAATAATTTCTGTTTTTTTGGGCCGACTGATTTCCTGCGGGCAATAAGGTAAGAAATTCTTATTTCTGCACCATTGATTTTTTTTTAGGATTGGTGAGAATTGAAGATTTTGTTCATGAATTATAATTTTGATTTGATTGTAAAGCATATAGAGGCACTTTAAAGCCACATCTACTGTCACTAGTTTGAGTAAAAGATATTCACGTTTGTAACAGCTTATGAATGTGTTATTGCATATGCACTTCCAATTGAATCTAACACTATTATTCTATATATTCAGAATTATTTGCATTTCTTTTTGTTCTTTTTCCTTATCTTTTCTCATAAAGCAAAATCAGACCATATATATGGTAATTACATATCAAAATAAAACCCTAGTTTCAATGTGCCTAATTATTAAGCATAAAATTAAAAAAATGCTCAAGAACAAAAGCATGAAAATTTAAAGAACACTACTTGTATTTCTATATCTATATGCTATACAATGAAATTTCACAATTTTCTGTACTTTTCTTGATGAAGACTTGTTCTTAGAAACTGAAAAATGGAGGGGACGGTGATAACTTGCATTGAAAGGGGGAAAGAGATGAGGCTTCTACCTACAAGACAACACTTTCATCAAACAGTTGAAGGGAGATGGATTGCAAAGGTTGAGGTAGTCTCCTCTCGTAGCAGCCCCACTGGATGAGGAGAGAGAGTCCCTTTCTGAGAACATGGGCTTCAGCAACATCTGAATTTTGGATATTGAGCATGAAGGTGGAGGTTGTTTTAATGGCCCTGCCTTTGAAATCGCGAAGAATGAGCCCTCCTCCGGCTGACTTCGAATGATGCGTGAAAGCAGCGTCCACATTCAACGGTCGTCAGGATTAGGCATCTAGTGGGATGGGGCAGGAGGACGGTAAGGCTGAGCCTGCAGAGAAAGATCCAAAGTGGAAATTTCTGAGAATTCAAAGCAATTGAACATATGATCAAGAATGTCCAATTCAAAGCAATTCAATATATGATCAAGAATGTCCTTTGGATCCTCGTTGATGTTGTTGAAATGCGAGTCTTTACGACCTTTCTAGATTTGCCAGCAAATAAATGAAGCAAGGCTGCCACAAATCAATGAACTTCTGCCACTGCTTGGCCCATGGGATGAAAAATATAATTAAATTGAAGGCGCAGAGGGCTGAGGTGCCAAACTGTTTGAGAGGAGGGGCACTTGCAAATGAGGTGGAAGATTGTATCAAGTTCAAGGCCACACCTTTTGCAGGTATCATCATGGATGATGCCTCTAGATTTGAGATTGGATAGGACTGAAATTCTTTCATGGGCACATTACTAGAGAAAAAACTGAATTTTCCGTTTGGTTGGTATCGAACAGAAGCTCTTCCATTGGGACTTTAACTCTTGAGTACGATTGCTTGTATCTTGACCAATTACTTAGACCTGGGGGAGGAGGGCTTGTGATTTAAGTTATAAGCAACTCTATATGCGCTTTTGACCGAGAATTTACCATCCGAAGTAGCATTCCAAGTGGGAGAGTCGAAACCCCCAGTGATTTTGATGGGAATTTGGAGAATGAGATCACCGTCTCTAGTATTAAAGAGTTGAGTGATGAGATCCACCTTCCAACTAGAGGAATCAACAACAGTCACTTGTGAGTCAAGAGGTGGTGGAGTGCTGATGCAAGGATTGGATGGGTCAGGTAGCCATGGACCAACAATTTACCTTTGAACCATTAGCAATTCGCCACTGGAAGCAACTCAGAATGATGTGTTTTGCTGATGCAAGTTTTTATGTAAGAGAAGAACTAGTGGTTTGCTTGGAAGGACGTTTGGTTTTGGCAGGTGCCATGGATAACGAGCTTCACAGACTAGAGTTTTCCTTTAGAGTTTGAAGAAAATAGACATAGGAGAGAAGAAGGAAAAGGTTTCGTTAATGAAGTGGAAGAGGGTGAGCAATATATATATATGGAAGTAATGGAGGAGTAAATATCCAAGGACGATTTTTGAGGGTGGTAGTTGGTAAGTTCTGAAACTAAAAAAGGGTAAGGAAGGAGGTTTCAGAAGTCTTAATGGTTTTGAACCATAAATAGATAAGAATCATTTGGGATATGAAACACTTTAAAAAATGGCGGCAGGTGAGATTGATGTGGAAGATATGGAGGGGTTAACCGCAGGAAGTGAAGAGAGTTTTATTAGCCCTAATGATTGCTTCGAAATTCCAAAAATGGATGTGACTTTTAAATTCAAAATGCCACGCCTTGTCATCAGATGATCTACGAGGCATGGGATTTGGGGGACAAATGTTTATCTCATTATTTGTAGCCTAATGGAAAGGTGACAGGTGGCGAGTTCCAATGAACTGGCCACACTAGATTGGGTGCTTTGATATTTCAAAAGAGGAAGTTATACTATAGAATTGTTGAAGATTAGCTATATGATATCTACCAATAAAAGGAAGCATATGGCGAGTTCTAGTGGAACTTGCCACACTAGATCGTGACTTTGGTGAGCCAATACAAAAGTGACACATGGCGAGTTTTATGCAGCTTACCAAGAGATATTAATTCTTTTAAGGGTTAGTGTGTGTGAATTTTGGATAAACCATGTGTCTTCAAAACCCTTAAAGGAATGAGGATTTATCAAAGATGGCAAGACTAAAGTTGACCAAACCAAAAGAGGAAGAACATGATGTTGGATTTTCTTCTAATTTTTAGGAGACTCCAACTGTTTAGCTAGGTCAAACAATGAGCTGCAAAGAAATAGGAAAGTGGGTGATGGTTTAAATGGCAAGTATATTTCAATATGTGTGTATATATATAGATATATACACTACCCATTCAGAGGAAATCGCTGAAGTCATGGGGCCACGACACCATAAGTGCAAAACCAGAAAGGAAAGTCTGGTTGATGGAGGTCGCTAAAATCAAGGAAACATGGGTTGCAAAGGAAAAGGAATACGAGGATAATTTGTATTTATGACTATATATATATATATATATATATATATATATATATATATACACTAGTAAAAAGTGCGGTGCACGCGTTAAATGTTTTTAATCAACAATGTTTAGAGTGTATTAATTGTCATCTCAATGAATTTCTAAATTATAACTCTTTGAAAATGAAAGTATTCATATGAACAATATTTAGAGAGTAATAATTGTCACCTCAAAAGAAACAAAATAAAGTTTTCCATTAATGAATGAATGAAAACTATAAACATTTAAAAAAATATATGAAAATTAAAATTCTATAATTTACAAAACATTCAGAAATAAATACTATATAAAAATTCTATATATTATAAAATCCGAAAGGGTACCAACAATATTTAGATTGTAATAATTGTCACTTCAAAAGAAACAAAATATATTAGAAAATC